AGTTGGTTGTATTGTGGTGTTATTTGAGATTTGTGTAATATTGGAAAGTATGATATTGTTTTTTGTGAGTTGTGAAAGATAAAATATTAAAATATATTTATATATTTTATGATAGTATTTAATAAGATATTAGTTGATAATTCAGGATATTATATTTTGGTCAATTATGATTTAATGCAGATAGTTCCAATATTGTAAAGGAGTATATTAAAGTTAAAGATATGTTCGATATTTGATGCACTAACTTTTTGAATGAATTGTTAAGTATTGGATAATTAAAGATAAGTAGGTTAGTCAAAGTAATATTGTTGATATTTTTTGCTAGAAAGAGCATCTTTTTTGTTTAAATAAAAAGAAATCTTAAAAGTTTGGTTTGATTTGATGTATTAATAGTAGTAATTTGAAGAAGATATTTAAGTGAAGATTGTAGAACAAGATTAAAAAGAGAGAATATTTGTGATGATAAAAGTTTCTTGTATTTGATGAGTTGAAGAAAGTTTTTAATTTTGTTGTTGATCATGTCTATAATAGGTTAGTTGTACTATTTCCATCATAATATATTTCAAAATATCTAATTATATCTTCAGATTTTCTTGATACAATTAATTGATTATTAAAGAATAAAAGGAAAGAAGAATATGTTACAAGATTTTGGATATATATGTAGTAGAACTAATTTATTTGAATTGATTTTGATATTATTAAGTTGATATAATAGGGATGTATCATTAAGAACATTTTGTAGAATTTGTAGATCTTCATAGTGCCATACTGTATTACTTATAAAAGCCAGAAGAGATATGGTAATAGAAGTAAGATTGTTGTTTTGTATAAGATCTTTTGATGATAATAAGAATATATGGAGTAGTTGATTATGATATAATTATAAAATAAAGGATAGCATAGGATCATAATATATTTTTTATAATAATAAAGAATATGTTTCTTCTTGTTCTATATCAGATTTTAGATAAACTGGATTTAAAAGTTCATAAACTATGATGACTTTTGCAGTTTGGTTTGTATATAGTTCTGTAATTAGATCTTTTCCTTTTTTTGAAATGCCAATTCTTTTATAAGAGTCCTGAAGTTGAAGGATATTAATTTTATCAAATGCTTTTAACATATCTTGAAAAAGAATTCAGGCTTCTTTATTATGAAGTTTGTAGTATTTAATTGTGTTGTGAAGAATTTGAATAAGGATGTAAATAAATGAGTTTTTGGTTACAGTGAAATTGAGATCTAAGAGTAGATTATTGGATGAATATAAAAATATATTAAATTTATTATTTTACTAATGGTCTAACAATATATATTTAAATAATTGCAATTTATTAATAAAAAAATTTTTTTTTATATAAATTCAAAAAATTAAGCTTTTGTTCTATTGTTCTATTTGCCAACACTAGTTTTATAAGTAAAATTTCATTTTGAAAACTTTTACTTAGAGGTTGAAAATTAGTTATCATACTAAATTTTTGTGTTATTTACAATTTTTTATAATTTTTTATGTTTTTCATGTTTGTTTTGTTATATGATATTTTGTACTTTATTGAATCTAGATAAGATCAGAAGTGATCTTTAGTGATCTTCAGCCTGGATTTTCTTGATATAAGGTATTTCTAAAGAATAATACTTGGTTATACAGATGTATTTCAAATATATTCTTACATAATAAATTTTATATATACATATACATAGGACTGTAAAAAAGCTTGTCAAATCTGGTTCTTAAATTAACTAGACAGAAACTTTTTAGGACTGACTTGAAATTGACTTTAAACAAAGTCTAAATGTAGAGGTCTGCATATTTTTTGTTTTGAAAATTGGTCATTTTAATTGGCTAATTTATGTTGATTCACAATGCTAATATTTTAGTTATTATGAATATTAAAATTTTGTAAAAAAAGTATTAAAATTTTGTAAAAAAACTATTAAAATTTTGTAGTGAAATTATTAAAAATTTTTTGTAAGAAAATCTATTAATTACCAAACAATTAAAAATTAATCTTGTAAAAAATATTTTAAAATTTAATTTCATGAGAGTTATTAAAAATTAATTTCATAGAGACTTAATTTTATTGTCATAAATTAATTAATTAAACTTTGTTTTTTATTTGGTTATAATAATAAATAAAACAAATAAAAGATTATTGTTTTGTTACTTTATTTTGGTTTCAAAAAAAATTATATTCAAATTTTTAAAATCATGTCCTATTCTATTTCTTTATTAGTTCTCAATTCTCTAAACAAAAATAATATTAGTAATAAAACTACTAATAGTAGTAGTTCTCCAAATTCAAAAAAATTAAAAAAAAAAAATCACCTATTCATAATTACTTAAACTTAAATGAAAATAGTATTCACATTTGTAAGATATGCTCTGATGACTCTGAAAATAAGTCTAGTAAATGAAGTTCGAGTATATTTTTGTCAACAATTTTATATTATTTTGAAAATAAATATCCAAACCTTTATAGAAATTTTTAATACAAAAATGATAAAGTTACTTATATAATATATTTAACTATTGATAAAGTTGAAAAAAATCATAAAAATTATTAAATCATAATCTATATCAACTAATTATTAAAAACTAGCTAGCTTTTTTAATAGTTAATGAAGACTCTTTTGTTAAGTTTGTTTCAAATCTTGATTCATAATATAAACTTTTCTGTTATCAAATAGTCTCTACAATTATCAAAAATAAATTCGAATCAATAAGAATAAAAATAAAAAAATATACTAAAATCAAATCTTAGTAAATTAGCATTTACTATTAATGTTTGAATGACATATAATTAATAATTTTTTTAAGTTATAGTTCACTAAGTAGATGCAAAGTGAATGATTAAAACTTTAATTCTTGATTTTATATTTTTATATGAATCTCATACTAGTGGATATCTTAAAAAAAAACTAGTTAAACTTATAAAAGATCTAGAGATTCAAGATAAAATTTTAGGTTTTACTAGTAATAATACATTAAATAATCAAACATATTTATATTATCTTCAAGATCATATTAATTCTAACTTTGTATATATAAGATGCACTGTGCATATTTTAAATCTTGTTATAAAAAAAGATAAAATCATTTTATTAAATAGATAAAACAGACTCAATATATCTGTAATAAGATTAGAAACTCATCTAATCTTTTAAAAGAAATGAAAAAAATTTTTACTATTTTAATTGACTGTTTTTTTATCCTGAACTTGATGTTGAAACAAGATAAAATTTTATCTATATTATGATGAAATAAATTTATAGAAATTAAGGATATTATAGACTATTTAATATTAGTTCATCTTAATTTAAAAAAAAACCACTTAAAACTCAAAAATTGGGAAATAGTTAATGAAATGGTTCAGTTTCTTAAATCTTTTTATAAGACAATATTAAAATTATTAAAAACATCATTATTCTTGTATAATCTATTATGAATAATTTTACAAGAACTCTTAACACTTCTTGACCACTATATTGAAACTACAAATACAAATATATATTGTGAAACAGCTTAAGGAATAAAAACAAAATTACTAAAATACTAAACTTATCTTTTAAAATTCTCAACTATTCTGACCCTACTTGATTTATCTACTAAGTTCAAAACCTTTAATGAAGAAGATTATCAGTCAACTATTGATAGTTTGAAGGTTTCTTATTCATTTTAATTTATAAGTGAAAAAACAGTAAAGACTAAAAAAAATCTGTTAGAATATTTAAGAATCTGGAAAAGTTGAGTCAAGACAATCAAGATTCATTAAACAAATTAGTAAACTATCTTTCATTACCTTTAGAACTATATACTAATCCATTATTATGGTGAAAAACAAAAGCTCATCATTTTCCAAATGTAGCTTCAATGGCTGCAAACTACTTTGTGCTACAAGCTACAAGTGTTCCATGTGAGCATGCTTTTTCTGTGGCCAAACATACAATAAATAGTGTACGAAGGACTCTTGAAGTATAAGGTAACATCTATTCTAAATTAAAACAAAAAAAAATTATGAGCAACCATTTGCAACTGTACACAATTTACAAAATATTTAATTTTTCTGTGCGACATCCGCACATATATTCAAAAAGGTATGCTGCATACAGTCCACACAGAAATAATAATCGCTACTGGTAAATATTCTCTACTATATATATAGTGATAGCATTATAAATTACCAAGTTACTAATGCAATAGTTTTGTTCATCAATAAAAATTGATGATCAGGTATAACGGCGTAGGCAAGATTACAATACTAACAACGAAAACCTCAAGAAAAACTTACACACTTCGAGAAACAAATAGATTATATACATATAAAAGATAGATAGACATATATAAAGTTGGGCTAAACACACTAAATCTACTATCTATGAACTATAGTTGCTGGTGAAACTCTTTGTGGATGGTGGTGAAACTGGTGAAATTTAATATAACAGCCTACACTAGCATTATTTAATTTCACTAGCAACACCCAAACACATCTACAATCTATAAACCCAAACTTTAAAAACCAAATTAACATAAGAATTCTTAAATATAAACCCGAATCCTTACGGCTAACACCGTTAACAAGCTTGTTTCGTACCAAATTTCATTTTATCCAATTCGTTATATCTATGATAGCAGATGAATGTACAGTAAAACTATACTTAGAGTATATACTCTAAGCATGGATTTTCTGTGTACTCAACCATATTTTATACAACGCTAATTTTGATGAAAAATACCATTAAATAAAATAACATTTTATATTTTGAATAATCTATGTATTCAAAAGTTTATATTTAAATTTTTTATTATAAGCAACAGGTTCAATACAAAAAATTCCAAATAATTTAGTTTAACGCTGTAATTAACATAATTAAATTCGTTAACAAAACGATTTCTAACTTATTATTAATAACCTGCAAAGAATTTTAAATCAATAAAGATTTTTGTTTAAATGTTAGCAAATGATCAAACAATTTACTAATAAACATATGCTTCAAACCATTTATTGATGAAAATTTGAAACTCTCAACTCCAATGCTCTGAATATCAAACATGAAAATGATAGTTAATAATATAACGTTTACATGATATTTTATACGCATTTATAAACAAACCTTCGTTCTTCCTTTCGACATAATAAATTTAGAGATACCGCAGCTCGCCAAACAGGCAATATACTAATTATTGCAAAAGCAAACATGTAAGAAATTATATAGAATGAAAAATATTCCTCCCTTACTTACATCGCATCACGTTCTTTACATGGATCAATATAAACAATTATACACCCCATATCTGAAAATATAGCAACGATGAAATTTTAACATAGGAAAAATCACTTTTAAATTAATAATAATAATAATAATAATAATAATAATAATAATGCTTATCACATTATTTATTACCTAATTCCTTCAGCCTCCTCTGAATTTTTTCATCAAATCGATCTATAAGTGGTGTAGGTTCTGACAGTAATATTTTAAGATCTTCTAAACTAAAATTTACCACTCTTTTTTTGGATATATAAGGATATATCATTACTAAGCCTTCTGAATTAAATCGAAATTCACATTTTATCGGTTCATTAGTTTCTTGTCGAGTAAATATTTTTATTCCCGAGTTTACTACCTATAAATTAGATATAATATCACGTGGTTACCAGATGCCAAATATTAGATTATAACGTATTATTAAAAAAAATACCCTTAATCGATGACAATCGGGTGCCTGTAAAACTTGTTTAACAGATTCAGACACAAAATACAGTATCTTGTTTCTCTCATTTACAGATCGAACAAGTAACTGATCTGTTGGAAATTCATGAGATAATCCATAGTATTCTCTGATTATGTAAAGATATTAATGATTAGTGGATGTTTCACTTATGGTAACAAATGTATGGGAACTTAAAAAACCTGATCTTTGAGATATCAGAATAATCTGGATCCAAAAAAATAAAAGGTTCCTCGCACGCTCGTTTTTGTGTTCCCGTCTCTTGATCTTCATCGTCAGGTTTTGTTTCTGTTTCAGGCTTTTCGACTTTTGGGCATTTATGTGATTTATGTCTAGACGAGTCAACGTTATGTCTTTTTACAGGAACTACGTAATAATTATCTAAAGTATCATTAGTTGACGGATCAACAATTATTGCACCATCTTGCTCGTTAGATATGTCAATTTCCTCATTAAAGCTTTGATTGTCATTTTCATTAGTCTCATTAGATATATCAATTTCTTCATTAAAGTTTTGATTGTCATTTTCATTAGCCTCATTAGATATATCAATTTTTTCATTAAAGTTTTGATTGTCATTTTCATTAGCCTCATTAGATATATCAATTTCTTTATTAAAGTTTTGATTGTCATTTTTATTAGCCTCATTGGATATATCAATTTCTTCATTAAAGTTTTGATTGTCATTTTTATTAGTCTCATTGGATATATCAATTTCTTCATTAAAGTTTTGATTGTCATTTTCATTAGCTTCATCAATTGAAACATCTTTCGTGTCACATGTGTTTTTATTTGACATCGAACTATTTATAGAGCTTATGTCAGTTATTGGGCCTGTCTTTTGCAATACTGCAACGAAAAATGCACCAGTATCTTGAAAATGAGGATATATCCGCATGCTGAAAAAAAATAATAAAATACTGTTAATGAATTGCTAATGAAATAACACATAATAACAGTGTGAGCTTGCCATCTTTCCAGGTTGAGTTGATCTACGTCTGGAGGCGGCCAAAGTGACTTCTCATATTTTTTCTGATACTTTGGATTTATATCTTCCAATTTATCAACCCATTTATTTTCTTTACTCATTACCTATTATATTGATCAAGACAGATTGCGTGTTATGACAAGTATTCGGTATAAATAGAAATTAGATGAGATTATTACCTTCCATGATGTAACTCCTGGTGCTCTTATTAATTGCGGTAATTGGTCGGAAACATCTACAAGATGTAAATTTCCTAAAATATAGGTATAGAATATATTAATCTTAAATTTTAAAAATAGTTGACGAGCTTATGAAATGATTCCGTAGTACGTAAAGAATAATTGTACCTCTGGATCGTCTTAAAACCTCCGCAACTACTGCTTCATTTTCAAGAGGATTCATTGAACATGTTGAGTATACTATTCGACCATTTTCTTTTGCAAGTTGTGCACCACGAAGTAAAATTTTTACTTGAGTACTTTACAAATAATTTATTAATATGTATTAATGTGATAAAAACTAAACAAATAACCAATGGAATTTCTTTGTATATATACTAATGAAGTCCAATTGCACTTCCTACGCCCCAATTTTTCCAAATCAAAAAATTTTTTCGTAGTGTTCCATCACCACTACAAAAGTAATTAATAGTTAATATATTTAAATATTTGTCTAGTTCGATGCATCATTCAACATATCATGAATAAACATTATATTGTAACCTGCATGGAACATCTGCTAAGATACGATCAAATTGAATTGGTCTTTTTTCCTCGTTTAACCCCTAATAAATTGATGTCAACACATTTAAAATACTTAATAATAACGATAGTATAAAAAAGAAGAAAAAAAAACCTGTTTCACGTATACACCAGGAAATTGTGCTGCGTCATGATTAGTTACTATTAAACATGGACTTTTCAAGCGTTTAGCCTGATGTACAAGCATACAACTTCGTTTCATATCAGCATCATTTGCGATGACGAGACCAGCTAAAGTAAACTACAAGGTTAATCTTATATGCAATAATGTTAAAATTGGTTTTCTTTTTTTAAAAAAATTCATCTCCAGATAGACTTACAAGGAATTGTCTTGTCTTGCAAGTCATTTGCATGCACTGCTTCTATTATTTGTACAGTTTTTGATCCTGGAGCTGCGCACATATCAAGCACCCAGTGACCAGGTTTAACGTCTAGGAATAAAGGTGGTATCATACTAACTGCCTCCTGACGATTAATATTTCCCTATGTGCACAACAATAAAATTATTTTTGAAAAATTGCGCTCTGTAGAAGACTTTAAATTTAAAGCTAAAACCAAAACCAACCACTTCAGTTTCTGCAACCAACCATTTATGAAAGTTTTGAAAAACAAGATTTTTTTTAATTGTATTCCTTGGTGCGGAATGTTGCCACCCAAGCCCATCCGGGTACCTGATTGATAATTAGATAAATTTCAGAAAAATTGATTTCTAAAATCAAAATAAAATGTTAGATAATTTTACCAAAGTAAAGGCCTCGGTGCTTCAGATCTGTTATCACTACCAAATTGAATTTTATTCAATTCTGGAACGTGAACATTTATCATTAAATTACGTAATTCAAATGCATTACTTTTTAAGTTCATAATAAATCGTTAATAAAATATTGATTTGAAATGAATGAAAGCATGAATATAATTGTATCATATGCTTTATACCTTCGACTCCCGGTAATACGAAAAGAAGTAGGAAGAGTAATTTTATTTACTTCCATAAACCTTTCCCATTCTGTTTCAGGTATAATATTTTGTGCCTTCACATAAAAAAATTTATTTGATCAGATAGAATTTATCAATTTCAAATCAATGAGCATGATAAGTCATTTTTAACACATCAAAATTTCTTTAAAAACACAGGGTCAACTTCCCGTTCCTTTGCTAATCTTGGTAATTAATAATCATTTACCTTGTAAAATGCTTCAAAATTTTCATTCTCTCTAACAATATCATCAAAGAGACTTTTAGTATTATCTCTTTCTCGCGGCGCCTCTTGGCGATTTTTCTTGTTTCCACCTCGCTTTTTCTTTTTCCAAGTCATTAATGATAAGAAGAAAAATTTACGATAATCTAATTCTGACTTTTTATAGGATTATTAGCGTTAATACTGTAATACTTAAATACGTATAAAGCATGCATTATGTAGATCTTTTGTCTGATTGGCTGATAAGTTTTTATTGAAGATTGTTCTTGGCTAATAGCGGCCAATAAACCAATAAAAAAAATTTTTCACTGAAAAAAGGAATTTTACATTATACCTGATCTCGAAATTTGATTGGTTGTTTCATGGGAGGACATTCATTTGATTGGTTAATTTTTATAGATCTACCCGTGATTACCCATGATAATCAACCAATCAAATTCATTATTAGAAACAAAAAACGAAGCCCATGTATGAAACAATAATTATATTATGCGTTTTATTATCTGTAAACATTTATGATTCTAAATCTATTACCTACGATCAATGGGAAGAACTTATAAAAACCAAACAAACTCAAACATAAACCCGGTTCTTTTATTAAAAAGAGTCTTTAACAAACACATTTCGATTACCTTTCTTTAGTTAGTTGATTGTCTACAATATTTAGATGAAATAATTTAACACGATCCGGTAAATGTTGAATATATTGTGTCTTCTAAGTAAACTATATCAATTTTGAGATTCTTCTTTATGGTGAATATTGCGTTCGTTGAAAGTTAAAAATGATATTTACGGTATTTTCTGTTAGTGAAACATTACGTTCTCAAAAAGTACTTTAAAATATATACGAATGTCTGACAATGAAATTCGAATGTCTTTCCATCTATAAATAAAGCTAGAATTGACCAATCAGAAGAAAGTTACCCTATAAAAGTAGATGTATAAACTATCACTCACCAATGAAGAAAAGACTCGTGTTTAATATCGAAATATACAAAACCGCTCTAAATCTTCATTGAACACCAGTCTCTCATTTTAACACTTTTTTTAATTACACCTCGCAAAAAAAAATATGGCGGTACGTATTTTAATATTGTCATGGAATTATTATTATTTTATTTTTTTTCTTTTGCTTAATAACAGTATTGACTCTTACTATATAGGACGCTGTCCAATCTGGAAATCCCAAAGGTCCTGTTAGGTAAGCTTAATCTCTATCGTAATTGAAAATTTTGAATAATTATGGGATTTCCATTTCTATATTTTCGGCAAAAGATACTTTGATAATCGAATTATTTCATTGAAATCTTAAAAAAAAATCATTTCACAGGAGACGTACAACGTCACCGGGTGGAAATAAAACGGTTTCGCGTTCTGGCGGCAGTTCTTCAACCATGATGAAGTTGTACACTGATGATGCCCCAGGCTTAAAAGTGTAAGTTTTTCAATTAATAAACGAAATCAAACGCATACCTTATTAACTCATGTATGCTAACATAACAGAGATCCGGTCGTTGTTGTCGTTCTTGCACTTGCATTTATTGGATCCGTATTCATTCTTCATATTTACGGAAAATTTACTCGCGGCTAAATTTGTTTTTTATAGAGTTACGACCCAAACCTTTTTGTTGTAGTTTGGTTTTGGGAATTAGGATTTCTACTTCATTCGGGATAATAACTAGAACCCAAATATATCACTTATTTTCGGTCAATAATATCAAACTTAAAAACCGGTCAAATTTATTATACCAATGTTATAAATTATTAAAAATTTTGTTTTAATTTTCAAATTTAGAATTTGAAGAGTGGAGTGGGATTGTTAAACAAATTAATATATAGATCTAATAATTACATCGAAAATGTATACAATAATGAAAAATAATTAGAAAATGAATCCAAAATAAACTTTGAATAGACTTTCGAGAAGTACCTATTGTTAATTGATAAATGAATTATTCGTGATCGTAATCTAATTCCCAGTCTCGAACCAATCGAAACTATATAGACAGAATATAATAGTATTCTTAGTAAATTAACATAATTATTTGAAGCGAGTATAAAACCGTTAATCGCACGGAACGACGCCATATCATTCAATTCAGTACAAATCGAATTTTCGACACCAGGGCAGCCTCCACGAAGTTCAGGTAGCCTATTGCCACAATATCTAATATTTATAATCCTCACCAACAAAATGACTTTAGGATTGTATAAATTATAACTCCAAGAGTTCATTTTGTTAGCAAAATCTCGTTTATTATATGTCTCAAACTTCCACTTTAAGAAAATCCTGAGCTACCAATCAAAAAATGTGGTTCCATAGTATTTCAAAAATTCCCTATATATCTAACATTAAAATTTGTATTCTATGTTTTTTATTAACTATACAAAAATAGAGATATAAAGACAAAAATCATGTAATCAAAAGGATAAAAGTCTTTAATAAGGCAAGATTTGCAACTTAGATAAGATTATTAAGCAGTATTGGAAGAACTAAAATTATAAAAGTCAATTTGAAAAACTTTTATTAATAAGTTTAAATTTATTTTATTTGATCTAATCCATGTCGTTGCTTGTGTTAATAGAAATTTTTTAAGAATTAGAAGAATTAATTGTTAATTTGATAGTAATAATTTTTTTTTGATTCTTATATTCTTCAATTCAAAATTTAAATACTCATTCAACTGTAACTTGTATATACAAGTAACAAAAAAACAAATAAAATAATGATTTTTTAAAAAAAATCAGAAACTTATAAGAAAGATAATATTTATTAAAAAGAAACAATATTTTTTAATAATATCTAAATTTAAACAACAAATTTAAAATAATATTTTTATATATTCGTTTAAAAAATAGAATAATAATAATAAAAATTCAAATATATCTTAAAAATTTATAAACAAAAGTATGTTAATTAATAATATATTTATATATAATACTGTTGTTTTATATATATATTTATTACCAACTTTATTTTATAGTCTCTTATAATATAATATAATTAATATAATTAGCTTATTAATAATAAAAATATAATATTTTTTAAAAAAAATCTAAGATATAATAATTAATATTATAAAAAAATATAATTTTAAATCAAGTAATAAAAGATATAATTTTTAATTAAATAATTAAATAAAAAGTTATATTAAGCAATTTAATTAAAAAAATTTTCTTCTTCTTACTACTCATAAACTTTATATACAATTCAAAAAACAACTACATACTAAAGAAATAATATACCTTGAGCAACTAACATCATATAATAACTCTGTATTACTTAACTAGAAATATATATTTACAAGAATTTAACATATATCTAAAGGTTATAAGCTATTATATTTTACATTTTAGAAAACATAATTATTGCTAATCATCAATCTAGATTAATAAATTCTCAACTACAATTACTTTATGCTAACTCTATTTTATTCACTATTAGATATTACAAAAATATATCTAAATCTTAGATAATTGTTTATAATCATAAATATAATAATATTATTATAGACAAAGTAAGAAAATACAACTTAACAAAAGATACAATTTCTATAATATATTGGTTAATTGATTTTAATATCTCACATATTTACTTATATTTTTTAGTTAATTATATTTGCAAACAATATATAGGATGTTATCTTAACTTCAACTATATACAAAACAAAATACTTATTTAATATTTCTACTAATTTTATAACCAAATTTCTAAACAAAAAAGTTAATTTCAACTTTTTTACTATACTTAAGCTTCATACAAATTTACTTAATTTACTATATTTTATTGTATTATAAAACTCTATTACAATACTGTTATTATCTAATATTATTATATAAAAAATGTTATATTTAATATTTTTGTATAAAATCAAGTTGCACAAATTCTTTAACAAATTGCATAAAACAACTTATTCTATTCACAGTTTACATTTTATACTAATAGCTTTGTAAATAATATTACAAATAATAGATACAAAATGGGTATTAGTTAGATTCAAATTCAAAATAAGACTATATTGCATCAATATTTAATAGAAATTAAACTTTGGCTCTTATTATACAAAGTAGAACTTATAGTAATTCTCTTTACTATTAGTATATGTCTAAAAATAAGTACTATTATTATTTATACTAATGCACAATTATAATTTTCAAATATAATAAGTTTATATAATTACTATCTATACCTAATAAATTATATTTTTATAACTACTAGTTAATATAATACATACTACTAAATTTTATCATTACATACCAAATTTAAATTAATTTTTAAAAAGTAATTGTATACAGTAATAATATACTAAATGTCATAGTTAACAAACTAGCTAAAAACCAAAACTAACTATAAACATTTAGTCTTCTTTAAACTAATATATACAATCTATTATATTATCTTTATTATAACAAATATATTATAGAATAACCTATATATGCATTCACAAAAACAACTCTCCCTGCTGATCATCTAAACACAAAATCGACCAAAAGGAAAACTGATTTTACGCAAAAGTGGCCTTCTAAACTACTTTGACAAAACTAAGTAAAAAAGAAGAGCATCCAAGAAAAGTATATAAAAAGAGAAGAAATAGCAAACACAAAGGATACAATATAGAAAAGCAAAGAAACTGAAAATTTCTTGAAGAAAACGCTCAAAAATTTGGAAATTATAACATTTTGAGAAATTGGCACTAACCTGGTATCACAGATCTGTTTTGGTCACAAGAACGTAAACAAACAAGCAATTCAACCATGTGTAGGATAAGCAAAACAAACACATGCTTAATATAAATAGAAATATGAATTTAACCAAAAGACGTAACAGCAGTCTAATAACAACATATATCAATAGAGCATACTGGGCTATT